TAATATTTTTTAAAAAGGTAAAAATGAATGCCGTGTACTCCCAGGATTTTGTGAGAAAACAGACTTTTACTAGAGGACAACTGAACCTTTGAGCCCTGGAGACTCGAGTTATTCGGGCCTCCAGTCCTCTTCTTTCCCACTGGCAACCTCCTGCTTCCTACCCCTCATTTTAAATCCAAGCCAAGAACTGCCTAAAGGGAGCTGGGAGGGGAGGAAGTCTTAGGAGAAGAGCTCTTGGCAGTATTTAGCCGCTGTCCTCCAGTGGCCCCTGAAGGCGTCATGGAAGGGGCTGTGCTGTGAGAACCTGGTCAGGACTGGGGATGTGACCCAGCTGGGAGTGTGCCTACCCAGCATGCAGGGGGCCCTGGGTTCCGTCCCTGGCACCACATAAAAACTGGATGGAATGGCATATGCCTATAATCCCAGCACCCAGACGGTGGAGGCAGGAGAGTCAGAAGTTCGAGGTTGTCCTTGGCTAGTTTGAGGCCAGTCTGTGTCTTAAAAAGATTATTATAATAAATTTATGCACACATACATTACTCCGGGTCTTTGTCAGCCTTGAGCTGGCATCCTGCGTGGAGACAAGGGGTAGGTGGCTGACGGGAGGCGCTGAGTGGGCTCAGAGCAGATGTATTTGTGAACTGGTCAACCCAAAGCCTTTCTCTAGCTCCTGGAGCTAACAGACACCCCTTCCGACCTCGAGCGTGTGTCCCCTAAAACACGAAGGGGACATGTCCGCGGGGATACTCAGGCACCGTCCGGTCCGACGACCCGTCCTCCACCGGCCTCGCCCACCAACCCGCTGTCCCCGCCCAGGTTTGATGAAATCATTGGGGGCTTCGATCAGCTCCCCCAGGCCCTGCACAGCTCGCTCCTGCCCGGCACGGTCCGGTTCCACTCGCCGGCGGAGGAAGTGGAGACGTCCGGAGACCGCGTCCACGTGACCTACGGGACGCCAGACCCTCTGCAGCCCAGGGCGCGGCTGACCGCGGACTTCCTGGTGGTGGCCAGCACTGCGAAGGCCGCCCGGCTGCTCCGGTTCCGGCCGCGGCTCTCCCTCGGCAAGGAGGACGCGCTCCGGTCCGTCCACTACAATGCGGCCACCAAAGTGATCCTGGCCTGCACGCAGCGCTTCTGGGAGCTCGACGGCATCTACAGCGGCAAGTCCAGCACCGACCGGCCTTCCCGCTTCATCTACTACCCCAACCACATCTTCCCCAACAGAGTAGGGGTCATCCTGGCATCTTACACCCTGGACGACGACTCCATGTTCTTTGCTTCCCTGGACCAGGCTCGGGCGGTGGACATCGTCCTGGGCGACCTAGCCGCTATCCATGACCGCCCCAAAGAGGAGCTGCGTGCCCTGTGTCCCTACTTCACCGTCAAGCACTGGGGCCAGGACCCTTATTCCATGGGTGGCTTCGCCTTCTTCACCCCTTACCAGTACGTGGACTATGCCCAGGAGCTCAGCCAGCCGGAAGGATGTGTGTACTTCGCAGGTGAGCACACAGCTCTGCCCCACGGCTGGATTGACACTGCCATTAAGTCAGGGCTCAGGGCAGCAAAGAACATCCAGGAGGCTGTGGACTCGGCTTTGACAAGTAACCCCAGAAACACAAAAAAGCACTACTCCAAAAGTGAGCTGTAACTGTGTGGTTCCCAGGAACTGGTTGGGTTTGAACATGTTTGTCTGTTGGGAAAAGACTCAGAACCCACCCCAACTTATTTTCACGTTTGCTCAGAGAAGCTCCCGGTGACCAAGGACCAAGGAATGGGGCCTCACAAGTAACTGAATGCCTGTAACCTTGAATTTACCTCGAAAAGAACATGCGGTGTAGAGATGAAAATAACGTCTTTATTGAATCTAAGGTTATCAGTGTTTTCTTTTGTTTTGAGACAGGGTCTCCCTGTAGCCCCAACTGGCCTGGAACTCACTATGGAGACCAAGCTGGCTTCGTTCTCACAGAGATCCGCCTGCTTCAGAGTGCTCAGATTAAAGGTGTGTGCCACCACCATGTTACCATGTTTTATTTTTGAAATCTTTACATTTGAAAGTGTATTTATTCATTGTGTGTGTGTATGTGTGTGTCCACACATACAGTGCTCAGATTAAAGGTGTGTGCCACCACCATGTTACCATGTTTTATTTTTTGAAATCTTTACATTTGAAAGTGTATTTATTCATTGTGTGTGTGTGTGTGTGTGTGTGTGTCCACACATATCTTGGTATGAAATGTGGAGGTCAGAGCACACCTTTCAGGAGTTGGTCCTCTCTTTCCATATGGGTCCCAGGGGCTTGGTGACAGGAGCCATCTCACTGGCCCGGAGTGATTGACATTCCAGTGTCATCCGAATAATCCAAGTTGCATGTTGAGGGCTAGAGACACCATCGCTTTCCTAAGGCCTCTTCCTTCCTTTAGTCTGAATCTAGTCCAGCTTCTCCTCTCCCTTCCCCTCTCCTCCCCCACTTCTCTCCCCTCCTCCAATTTCCATGACTGAATTTTAAGAGAAGTTGAGAACTTAGTTACTTGGAGGCAACTGTGTGGCCAGCACCATGCTCAATGCTTTCCGTGTTATTCGAACAACCCCTAATGGACAGATTCTAATAATGCTGTCTAATGAAGTTGTTAATGTAAAGATTTGGACACTGGCAGAACCATTAAGCCCGGCTTGGCCATCTGTCTCTAATACACCAGTTAAAAAGACAAGTAACAAGCCGGGCGTGGTGGCACACACCTTTAATCCCAGCACTTGGGAGGCAGAGGCAGGTGGATCTCTGTGAGTTCAAGGCCAGCCTGGTCTACATAGTGAGTTCCAGGACAGCTGGGGCTGCAGGGAGACCCTGTCTCAAAAACACCAAAAAAAAAAAAAAGACAAGTAACAGAGCTGGTGATATGGCTCAGTGCCTAAAGGTGCTTACCACCAAACACCTGAATTCAGTCCCTGGCCTCACAGAGGTGATAAAGTATCCCAACCAAAAGCATCTTAGGGAAGAGAGGGTTTGTTAGCTCCCAGCTCCAGCTTACAGTCCTTCACTGTAGGAACATCTAGGCAAGAACTCAGAGCAGCTGGTCACACTACAGTCACAGTCCAGAGAGGGGCTGGAGAGAGGGCTCAGTGGTTAAGAGCACTAATTACTCAATAATGTGGACCAGAGTTTAGATCCAGGACTTGCATCAGGCACCTCATAAATGTCTGCAGCTGCACCTCCAAGGGATCTGACACCTCCTTCTGGTATTTTGAGTACACACACACACACACACATACACACACGTGTGTGTGTATATATAAACATATTTATATACATACATTTTAATTATAATTTTTATTTTATGTGTATGAGTGTATTGCCTGCATGTATGTAAGTGCACCCATGTCATGCAATGCCTGCAGAGGTCAGAAGAGGGTGTCAGATCCCCTGGAAATAAAGTTATGGATGGTGGTTAACCACCACCATGTGGGTGCTGGGAATCAAACCTATGTCTTCTTGCAAGAGCAACCAGTACTCTTAACCACTAAGCCATCTCAGCCATACATATACATATGTGTGTGTGTGTGTATATTCTTTTAAAGAGTAGAAAGAGAACAAATGCTTTTGTGCTTTGTGCTCAGCTCACTTTCTTGACTCTTATATGATCCAGGGCCCCAAAACCATGGCATGGAGCCCCCCACTTTCAGTCTGGGTCTTCCCACATCAATTAATATAATCAAGACCACCTCAACAGACATGCCCATGGGCCCACCAGATCCAGACAATCCCTCATGAAGGCTGTCTTCCCAGGTTGACAAACAATCACAAGATCCAAACACTTCCCTAGTGAACTTGTAGACAACACAAATACCCAGGAAAAGTGGGAGGGTGACAGCTGAGGGTGTGTCAGTCACAGAGCAGGAAGGGCCCCGAGATGCCAGGTGGGATTTTTCCTGGGTCACAACTGCAGGGCTATGTCACTGCTATGTAGAGGGTGGGTATTTAAAAACTGCAGTGGCCTGTCCCAGAGTACCCTTCTCCCACCTCTCACCACAGTTCCATCTTGTACACTATGGCAGATACTTAGAAGCTGCTTTTTTTCTGGAAACTAGTACACCTCACTTGGGCCCACAAGGCATCTAAGTGCAGGGTAAAGTTCTATCACCCCCCACTTAACTCTGGGTAAAGTTCTAACACCCCCCACTTAACTCTGGGTAAATTCCTAGAACCTCCCACTTAACTCTGCACATAGGTATGTTGATCATTCAGGGACGTTCAGTCTGCACACTGGTGATACCACCTCATAGCCCCAAGGAGTGTCAGTCAGCACTGGTGACATCATTTTGTCTCCCCCCTCCCAGAAGTGTCAGTCTGTACACTGGTGACATCATCTCGTCCTCCCAAGGAGTGTCAGTTGGCACTGATGACACTACCTTGTCCTCCAAAGCAATGTCAGTTGGCACCGGTGACCTCATCTCATCCCACAAGGAGTATCAGTCTGAACATTGGTGACAGTATCATGTCCCCAAAGAAGAGAGATGGGGGCACCTTGCTATCAGCTTTTACAGCACTCTGTTCCAGACCTCCAAGGATATCTGAAAGTCTCGTGTTTTACTTAAGCCTGCTGTTACCTTAGAGACAAAAAGATCAAAAATAAAATGCAAAACCCCCAGTCAGTAGCAGGCAGAGCTGCTTGGAGCCTGACCCACTGATTTGTGATCTCTTTTTCCAACAACTGTTCTAACTCAACTGAGCCTAGAGCCTAACAGCTCTGGGGCTCACCGTAAAGTTCAGTCTTAAGGCATACGTGAGAACTTTCAAAACAATTCCAGTCCCTCAGGGAACAAGACCAAAAACGAAAAATGTGACTTCATGAAACTAAAAAGCTGCTTACAGTAAAGCCTACAGAACAGCAAAAAATATATACAACGGAGGACTAATATATAGGACACACACAAAACAAAACAGCCTCCTTCCTCCAAAACCCTAAATATCAAGAAAACAAACAACCCAATTAAAAAATGGACTATGGATCTGAACAGAGAATTTTCAAAAGAAGAAATACAAGTGGTCAATGAACAGCTTTAAGAGTGATCAACATCCCCAGACATCAAGGAAATGCAAACTAGAACTACTCTGGGATTCTATCTCACCCCAGTCATGAAGAAACAAACGATGACAGGTGCTGGCGAGGATGTGGGGCAAAGGAACCGTTACTCACTGTTGGTGGGAAGGAAAACCAGTGGGGCCACTCTGGGAGGCAGAGTGAAGCTTCCTCAAAAAACCCCAACTAGAACTACCTATGTCCCAGCCATGCCTGGGCACATACCCAAAGGACTCTACATCCTACAGCAGAGATACTTGTATGTTAGTGTTTATTGCTGCTCTATTCATAATAGCAGGGAAATGGATCAGCCTGGATGTCCATCGATGGATTAATGGATAATGAAAATGTGGTTCATATGCACAATGGAATTTTATTTAGCCATTAAGAAAAACGAAATCATGAAATTTGCAAGTAAATTAATATAACTGGACAAAATTATACTGAGTGAGGGTCACGCAGGCCGAGGAAGACAAACATCACATGTTCTGCTTTATATATGAGTTTTAGCTTCAGGTCTTTAGAATTGTGTGTTTAAATTGGAGTACCTGTGGAAGCCAGGAAACTAGAAAAGGGTCATGGGTGGGGGAGTCCTCAAGGGAGGCGGGAAACAGAGCACAGCTGGCATGAAAACACAGGGATATTGTGGAAGAGTTCAAGCAGGAACGGGGGTAGTAGGTGGGCAGGTCAAGGGAAAGGGGACAGAGAGTTAACCAAAGTGAGGGGAACTTGGTGCGCTGACTACAACCCTGAGAGTTAAAAGGCTGACAGCCTTCCTGGCTGACACAGACAGCACATATCCTCACGCACGATACAGAGACATCACACTGGAACTGAGCTGGACGTTTCCTCCCTGCTGGCTGGCGTTCACAGTGCTGGAGGGTGCAAGGCGGGCTGCCAGGGAAGGAAAGGCATTGCTCTCAGCCAGCCAAGAACCCCATAAACCGACCTGCCCACTGGGGCAGCAGTGGTATAACGGCTACGAAGGCAACCAAGGGCTCTCTGGTTGGTTTTGAGGCCTGCTCCACAAGAAGGAATTCATGCCTGGTACTGTAAACCCAGTTAACACCCATGGTTGAGGAGGTTTTATGCCAGAGGTGGGGGAGATGACTAATGCTTAGCTAAATTAATATAGCACCAAGCAGCCTTCTTAATTGTTTATCCCCAATGCTATCCTCAGTCTTAACCGGAGAAGCTTCTCTTTGCAATGAACGGGAATGAGTGCGGAGTAATGACTGCTCAAGGCACTAAGTCCCAGGGCTATAGAGGTGGCTCAGTGGTTAAGAGCACTGGCTGCTCTTGCAGAGGATCCAGGTTCAATTCCCAGCACCAGCATGGTGGCTAACAACTGTCCATAACTCCAGTTCCAGAGAATCCGACACCTTCTTCTGCCCCTCTGAGGGCATTGCACACTCAGATGCATTACATATATGCAGGCAAAACACTCGCACACATAAATTAAAAAGATTTTTTTTTAAGAAAATAGAATCCCATCTCAGGGGAGACTTTAAATTTTTTATTTACTTATTTTAATTTTTTATATATGAGTGTTTTGCTTGCATGTGTGCAAGCATCCCATGTGTGCAGTGCTCACGGAGGCCAGAAAAGGGCATCAGATTCCCTGGAACTGGAGTTAATGGATGGCTATTAACTGCTCTATGGGTGCTAGGAACTGAACCTGGGTCCTCTACAAGAGTAGCCAGTGCTCTTAACCACTGAGCCATCTTTCCAATCCCTTTATCAAAACTTTTATCAATTCTAGTCTGATGCCTCAGGTCATTCCTCCTAAAACAACCACCTTGTATTCTAAGAACACCAGAGCTCCACAGGCAGATCA